TAAAATATGAATATATAAAGCTTTAAATTTTATACCTGGGAGTCGAGATGTTACATTCCTTATGTATTGTATTGATGTAATTCTTATTTGTTTGATATGGTTTGTGTGATGCTTAATGGTAACACCCAGTGTTTTAATCATAAATTTTTTTGTGGGATCGGTTTCTTCTTAAATGTGGGTTAATACTCGTAATGATTTTGTTTAAACCATAACATTTTAAAATTTGAAAAAGTTTGAAAAATTGTGGGTGTTACAATGGCACCAAGTGTCCTATGCTGCACAAGCATAACAAGGAGTTAACCTAGTCAACTAGCATGCCCATACTCTAACAATACCTTTATCCTATCATGCAAAAGGATATATAATGGGATACGTGGTATAGTGAGAGACTCACCTGAACTGAAGAACTGGAAAAGTACAACAACACTCTCACACCTTGCACTGCTCAATCCAGCGTACTGACTAACATCAAAGAGATAAATCCTAAACCAACAATCCAAAACCTCCAAGTCCGGCCCCAAGTCATACTTGTCAAAAGTCAATGGTCAACGGTTAACAAGAGTCAACGGCCAACCAAGTCAATAGTCACCACGATGTGAAGACCTCTTGGCCACGTCGTGGGCATGTCCAAACAAGACAGTCGACATGCAAGAAATGTCGTGGGAATGCCAGGACAATACAGTCGCAATTCTGAACTTCACCACATCGTGGTCATTCCTTGGCCACATCATGGTCACTGCCATTTTTCCTCAAATCTTCATTAAGAGCTTAATCCTTACAGATCAAGGCTTAAAACTTCAGATCTAATCCTTGTCAATGAATTAATGGATAAAGTTTCCAACTTTATCCATTTAGACTTCACTCCAAGGCAAGATCTCCACCCCTAAGTCCATTAAGTCCTTAATATGACCAAAACTTGCACATGGGACCAAGAACTCTCAAACTAATATATTTTCTGTTACTTAACAGAAGTTCATGACCATAAGAATGTCATATTAAGCTTTGGAGTTCCTTAAACTCCAAGAGCATCCAAGAATGGGACCAAAACCAACCAATAATGACCAACACGTGAATCTCAAAAGAACAAGGTCATGGTACAAGCGTTTTACCTCCAAAGGTCCAGAAACTTGAAGAAGATGATGGATCTAGTCTTGCTATATGCTCCCTCGCACCAAGAAAGAGTTTCTTTCTTCACAAGCTTCACTAAATCAAGAACACCCACAACTTCAAGCAACCAAGCTCTTAATCTTCCATGGAGGCTAGGGTTTGGTGGAGGCTGAAGGAGATGCCCTAAACCAAGAGTTAGAGCATTTAAATATGGGGAAAACCCTAAAAACTATGGGCTTTGGCTGCAATAGTTGTCACGTCGTGGCGATCATTAAAATGTGCGTTCCTCAGATGTCATGTCGCGTAGTGGCATTCCATGCACCACGTCGTGGCATATGGTTTTCCTCAAAAATCAAGTCTTTGACTTTTTTCAGTTATCAACTGATCCATTTTGAAAAACGAGTGTTACAGTTTCATTCTATTTTTTAAGAATCAATTCCTTAGCAAATCTTGAACAAAACATGGATATATGAAAGAAATGGATTCTAATTCCTAATTCCCAAGAATTTTAACGAACCAAATGTTACCTAAGTTACCGTACAAATATTTTTAAAAACCTGATGAAAAGGCATGAAGAAAATCACTAAAGTACATCCAAACCATTAATTCTTCAAATCTATTATATTTTTAAATAAAAAATAATAACTTTTTTGAATATCATATATCTGAAATATTCAAAAAATAAATAAATAAATAAATAAAACTATTTGTATCCGAGTCAGAAAAGTCTTGATATCCCATTTATAACTTTCCGAATATCCTAAACTTCATATAATTTTACATCAGATTCTCAAATACAGATATTTATATTTGAGATATTTTTAACACTGCTGCCAATTACCCAACAGTTTCAACATTTATTCTAAATTTAAGTCTAAGTTTAGTTTTTTATTTCACTTTTTGATATCACGATATTAAATATTTCGTCCCTTTGACATTGCTACTGTCTACCAATGATGGTCCACGCCGCCCATTGCTCTATCTGCCTATTTCCCTCGAATACAGGTGTGAACCGTTGACCCGTTTACTATGAGTTGTATATCGGCTTACTGCATATCCACTTTCTAATTTCGGAACACAATTTGGATTTCTTTTCATCCCTCTTTTAAAAGAAAAATAAATGTGTCATATTACAAATATTTTGATTCAACTAAGTTATGGCCTATGGGTTCATGTAAGTGGTCTTTTAGTAATTTATTAGATGAGGTTCTTGAAAAAAGCAAGATAAGCTTAGATCGGGCAATCGTTTTTATAAGAACAAATTATAGTTATTATTCTCTCTTATCACCAAATAAATATAAAATATGTAGCTAATATAAATAAATAAATAAATAAATATTAGTATATTTCTTTTGAGAGTGAAAGAAATACAGTAAAATATATCTTCCATATTGTCATTATTCAGTTAAAAAATAAAACATGTTAATCTCATAATTAAAAAAACACAATACGTTCTAAAATATACGTTAAAATATAGATAATTTATTTTATTGTTTACTTATTAACCACATACTTACAAATATTAATCATATTAATAATAATATACCCCAAAACTACTGATAATAAATATACCTATTTGAAGCTTATAAAATAAAATTTTCTCTATTTTGATAAAATAAAATCATATTAATATTATCCCCAAAAACTACTATTAACATATATATAGGAGTGTGGGTGGGCGTGAGAGATAAGAAAAGAGTGAAGCTTGAAACATGGGGGAAGGAAAAGGAAAAGAGGATGAAAAAATTAACCCTTATTCTTGTGCTTGTGCCATTGTTGCTTCTATGATCTCCATCATCTTTGGTTATGGTACTATCGATCTCTTTTCAAAATATGTGTGTATGTACTTATTAATTAAATATTCGTATGTATGTGCTTATCTTTGTATGTACGGCCTATTCTTTTTATATTTGATGATATTCTCGATCTATTAATCTTTTTGTATTCGTTTACGTAGAAACGGGTGTTATGAGTGGAGCGTTGATCTTTATCGAAGAAGACCTTAAAATCAACGACTTACAAATCCAAGTCCTTGCCGGAATCATCAACTTCTGCGCTCTTGTTGGCGCCCTGAGCGCCGGCAGAACTGCCGACTACATAGGCCGCCGGTACACCATATGCTCAGCCGCCATCATCTTCCTTTTGGGCTCATTACTAATGGCCTTTGCACCGACCTATGCAGTTCTCTTGACAGGCAGATGTGTCGCCGGAATCGGAGTAGGGTTTGCCCTTGTAATAGCTCCGGTGTACTCAGCCGAGATCTCTGCTGCCAGTTCCCGTGGTATTTTAGCTTCTCTACCGGAACTTGGAATCAGTATAGGAATTTTATCTGGTTATATTTCAAACTACCTTTTGGCAAGTTTACCCTTAAACATTGGTTGGAGGGTAATGTTCGCAATAGCAGCTGCCCCTTCTTTAGGGTTAGCTATTGGCATTCTGGGAATGCCAGAGTCCCCAAGATGGCTTGTAATGCAAGGGCGTCTTGGGGACGCTAAACGAGTCTTGTTAAAGGTGTCAAACACCAAAGAAGAAGCAGAATCTCGGCTGCAAGACATCAAGCTTGCAGCCGGGATAGATCCTAACTGTACAGACGATTTTGTCAGACTGAATCATAACACGCGTGGTCAAGGCGTATGGAAAGAATTACTACTAAGACCAACTCCACCTGTCCGATGGATGTTACTAGCCGCCATTGGGATCCATTTCTTTGAACATGCAACCGGGATTGAAGCCGTGGTCTTATATAGCCCACGGATTTTCAAGAAAGCCGGGGTTACAACTAAGAAAAAGCTCTTATTAGCAACCATAGGAGTCGGTGTCACGAAATTAATATTTATATTTTCATCCACTTTCTTTATTGATAGATCCGGAAGACGAAAACTTCTACAAATAAGTGTTGGAGGGATGATTGTTGCCTTATTAGGGTTAGGTTTTGCTTTAACCATAGTGCATCAGTCTCATAACCAAAAGGTAGTTTGGGCACTTTGGTTAAGTATAGCTACATGTTATCTATATGTAATGTTTTTCTCAATAGGGCTTGCGCCAGTTACATGGGTTTATAGTAGTGAGATATTTCCACTAAAGTTAAGGGCGCAAGGGGCAAGTATTGGGGTGGCTGTGAATAGGGCAACCAATGCAACTGTGTCTATGACATTTTTATCCCTAGTAAATGCAATCACCATTGGTGGGGCATTCTTTTTGTTTGCTGGTATGTCGGTTTTGGCTTGGATCTTTTTCTTTTTCTTTTTGCCTGAGACTAAAGGGAGGTCACTTGAAGAGATGGAAGAAGTTTTCACAAGAAGCAAGAAATCAAGAAATGTAGACACGGAGTTGCAGAGTCAAAACAGTGTTGTTCGAGTGCCATAATCGCAAACAAGAAGGGCAAAATAGTAATTTTGATATAGCATTGCTTACGTGTAATATTAATCGGCCTTATCTGTATTAGATTTTAGATGAAAGAAAAATAATAAAAGTATATATTAATTATATGTTGAACGTTGAAATGCATCACCAACTTGAAATTCCTAATAATGTGATTATGACATATATTTAAGAGATTAAGCTGTATAAAACGTCAGGGTGTTATTTTTTTATATAAATAGATTATGTTACAAGGCCGGTAATATGCTTATTTCGGATATCTTAAAACATGTATTCAGATATTTAATTTCTTAAAACTTAAGTATATGATTTGTTATATAGAAAACAATACTAGGAATCGCAAAAGAAAATCAAAAAGACAAAGTAAAAGCTCGCTAAAAACAAGATTGGATCAATACAATTATATAGGCGTATGGCCACAAATTGGTCCACAAGAAACTCATAGCTAAAATAATGTCCGTACATACCCTACAATTAAGGGTAGCCCTTGCTCTCGGACAAATGCCATTTAACTCTACACCATAACCTTCTCATTTTCATCACAAACCACCAAAGTCCTACAAGAACATTGAAAATAAACCAAGAAAAACAAGGTTTTTCCATCCAAATGTGCATAAATTGAAAAAATACAAACAACCCTAATCATATAATACAAATGAGGGTACTTTGTCCGAATTTTGAAAGGGAAGATGCATTGGAGACGGTTCTTGATGTACCAATACCCGAGGAGATGTTTACAAACATGGGGACCAGTGTAAACCTTCGATGGCAAAACATGTCAACATGGATGAGGGCTCAAACATCAGATAAATGGTCGTCTCCGATAATAGTTAATCGTTATAACGAGCTAACCTTTTTGCTATACATAGTTGGATCTCCTCTTCTTCCCCTTCAGATTCAACTAGACAATCGCACTCGATCCATTCGCAGTTCATCTATTGTAAGCAAACCCTAACACCACCTTACCTAGGGCATACAAATTTTTCTAAGTGGTACTTTTTTTTATTAATTCTTTATATTGTGAATATAACACATGAAATGTTGCATTTTTTTAAGGAAGCATCAACCGCGAAATATATTGTGCAACAATACATGGCGGCAATCGGTGGACAACCGGCTTTAAATGCGGTACAAAGTTTATGTGCTATTGGGCAGTTGAAGATTAGCTCGTCAGACTTCCACCAAGGGGATGAAGCCGTGAAAGCAGAAAGCAGAGAGCAGACGGGTGCATTTGTGCTTTGGCAAAAGAATCCAAATTTATGGTGCTTGGAGCTACTTGTTGCGGGTTGCAAAGTTATTGCAGGAAGCAATGGCAAGATTTCGTGGCGACAGTCTTCTAATCAACTAAGACCTATATCCAAAGGTCCTCCTCGTCCTCTTCGTCGATTTCTTCAGGTACTTGTCATCAGTATTATTGACGATATGAATACCATTTTTGTAGTAGAAACTATTTTATTATGGCCATAATGGTAGTTCCATTAAAATGATCTTGGAAACTTCTATAATCTTATAAAATTGATACGAATTCGGAGATATCAAGAAGAGAACAGGCGTCTGATGAAAGCCAATGCTCAAAGGGAAAAGTTTGACAATGTTATATGTACCACTCGATTCATTTTATCTAAATATTGGGATGTAGTGGAAAGAAAACTAAAGTTGGGGCATATATGAAGTAACCAACGTCCTAATAAATTTGTGTGATACTTCATTGGCTTTTGAAAATACAAAAATGGTTGATCTTGACCAATTTTTTTAATATTTATTATAAAATAACAATCTATTTTATAAAACAGATTTCGCAAGCAAGATTCCTTTTTTTCACGTGATGAAGTTTATTTAGTAAAAATAATCATGAACTTTTTATACGTTTTTGTTGACTATTTTGCGATATATTTTAATAACATTGTCATTTTTATAGGAACTCACTTATTTTTGTCATTTTTACTGATTAGCACTTGATCTTAACTTAATGAAACACAACTTAATCTTGTAAGTTATACATAAGTTGTAAGTTATAGTATATAACTATTTTTTTTACCCGTACAAACAATACCACTGTATAAAAAACACGAAAATAAGTTACATTTTAATATCCAAACTTTTACAAGCTTGCATTTTTTTTATCATTTCCCTTAATATATGATCCAAATGTTTTTCTAATATCATTGCCCATTTGTAGGGTTTGGACCCAAGGTCCACAGGAGATTTGTTTCTTCAAGCGGTATGCATAGGCGAAAAGGTCATAAACGAAGAGGAATGCTTTATATTGAAGATTGACACAAGCCAATCTGATCTCGAGGAACACACAGATTCAAGATACGAGATTATACATCACACAATTTGGGGTTACTTTAGCCAAAGATCGGGCCTTTTAGTGAAATTTGAGGATTCACGTTTGCTTACTGTTAATTATGATAATGGGGATGGTGTTTTTTGGGAAACTAGTACTGAATCAGTGATAGAAGATTACAGATATGTTGAAGGTGTCAACATTGCACATAGTGGGAGAACGTCTGTAACAATTTTCAGATATGGGGAACAGTCATCGAATCATAAGAGACAATTTGAAGAAAAGTGGATGATTGAGGAGGTTCATTTCAATGTTTGGGGATTAACTAAAGATTTCTTTACACCCCCGCCTGAACTCACAAAAGAAGATAAAACAACTTAAGTGCAAACTTGATAAGAAGAGGTGTTGTTTTGTAAATACGGAAAGTAGAAGGGTTATACTTTACTTTTGAAGACAATATGTGAAGATTGAAGTACAATACATGGGCAAGTTATTGGCATTAAGTTGTTGAAACGACAACAATTTGGTTTTTGAGGAAATTTCAGTTTTTTTGTATGACTTTTCAGAATCCATAGGGATGATGGTTCAACTTGGTGGACATTTCTCTTTGGGAAAAAAATTTGGTGGACATTTTTGGCAGGGTCATTAAAGTGAACGGCATTTTGATATTTGTGCTTAAAATGAGTAAAATGAGTGCTCAACTGCTCATAGGAAAAAAATATGAAAGCAGAATCTTACACTTAGTAGGAGGTTTTTGTTTTTTTACTTAATAAGTTTAGTGGGTTAAGCATTTAATTTGCATTATGAAAAGCTATATATGGTTGTTTATTTGATTTAATAGGTTAATGAATAACTTGGCTTGACGAAGTAAGACACTAACGTTTTACCCATTTGTTCTTTCAATTTTTTTTTCCTTCCAACTCATTCTCACTGCAAAATTCATGACCACTGTGAACCTTTAAGAATGTAAGGATAAAATGGTCATTTAATCTTATTCTCATTTGGTATAGAAAAAAAGACTATACATATAACACTTTTTCAAGACATGTATCATTACTCAGATTTCATTACACAATTTAATAGAGAGAAGAAAAAAAACCAACCCTAGATTTTGTTTGGTACAACGGCGTAATAAAAGAAAAAGATTGAAAGTGCAACGCTTCAATACAAGTATGTTGCTATTTTTTGCAATTAAAAATTGAAATAATCAAAAAATACAAATGAGGTACACTTCAGTTACTACTCGATTCAAGTTCAGTTCTTTATATCATCATGACAACCAAATTTAGGCAACGTAATAAGTATTATTGTAAAGTGCAAAACCGTTAATTGGGGAGCATGAGGATCAAGATCAATGGAATTGACAGACATCGTAGCGATCTAGGTCGTCGTGACTCATGAATAGGGGAGCCACCGACGATGTAGTCTGAGAAGCGGTTGAGGTTGTCGGTGGAGAAGCGGAGAATGTCGGTGTCGGTGAGCATTGAGCAAAAAACAAGTAGAATTATGGCGACGAGAGCCCAGAACTAGAATTAGGGTTTCCTTTTTATTTGCGATCAATATTGGTGTCCGATTAAATGGTTATCGAATTGGAATCATATCTATTTTAGATTGAAATGTTTTGTAGTTGAGTATAAAACATTAAAACTGATTAGGGTTGTTGAGATTAAGATTAGAACACACACAAACACCGTTACACAGTAGGCATGGAGTTTCTAGAATTGATTCTGAAGACATGCGGCCATAGCCTATATGGATTCTTTTGAGACGATAAAACTTACTTTTGATTTACTTTTTTTATTTTTTTTAGATATAAAAGGATGGATACATTATTTAGCTTAACAAGATTTGTGCAACATTTTTTGTTTCAAATTTTTTTTTGAAAAACATTTCAAAATTACTAATTTCATGGATTAAATGTTTAAAATGTGTTAGTGAGATTCATTGTTGTCTATAAATTGAGATCTTGGTTTTCCTTTATTAGATGTTACTTTGATATTCGTGGTGGTGTATGCAGACCAATAGAGGAGGCAGTTTATTATTAGGTTGTCCGGTATGGTCTTTACGCCTCACCAAACCACATCAGCATCGTCTTCATCATCACATCTTCATCATCACATCGCCACCGCCTGGGAGGTGTAGTCAGCACACGAAGAGAAAAGGAAAAGGAAGAAGGAAGGAAGAAGAGAGATAGTTTTGTGGTTGTTGGGGTCACCGGGCATCGGGCTAGCTTAGCCACTCCGTGAAGGAGGTATTGTTCATGCCATAGAGGTGTTCCACATGAGCATCACGAGGCTCCCATAGTGACTATACCCACCAGTCTTATATGCAGGTAAGGACCAAACTCAATCAAGATTTTAAGTCGAATTAGGCCTAAGTTAGGAAATTATAACTAGTGTTAGGTCCAAGATCATCAACCCTATTCAGGATCCCGAATCTTTAAGAACTTTCAGGATCCCGAACGTATCTCAGGATCCTGACCATTATCATTACTATTATTTCCTAACGTTTCTAACAGATATATTTCTAGTCTTTTTCTCACATGTGCAGAATTAGTGAACATAAGACTCATTCTCAACAGAGAAACGTTTTTACCAGGCAAAAGACCCATAAATACCAAGTCAAGACAACGTGTTCATCTTTATTTGAGAGGATCCCGAAAATATTGGACTTATTGTTACTTAGACTAGACTATAAATACACATGTACTTCGCACACTACACACATATAGATTCACTCCAATACTTGTACTCGTTTACTTACTTTCATCTCTGTAATTCATATTTCAATCAATACAATTAAACAAAACAGGTGATCATTATCATCTCCCAAGGTTTTGTGTCGGAGATCCTAACAAGGATCAAAGGCTTTCCTTGTACATCACTTGTGCAATCTTGTTCTAATTTCGATAATCACTTTACCAACAACACCACAGCCTCTCATTCAATTTGGTTAATATCCACTCGAGCGATTTTTTAACAAAACAATTTGGCACCAACTCTGGGTTCGTGGTGTTCGTAGTCGTCAAAAATCATATCTACACAACTAACCTTCTCTTATTCTTCTGTTCTCTCTATTCCTTTGAAAAATATTTAATATCCTCCAAGCGAACTCCCTGGTCAAAGGTAAACTTCCGATGTACCAAAGAAGAGCACTCCTCTGGTCGCCCCAGGATCCTTGGGATCCCATGATCCTCCTGCCTCGGTCTCTAATAATGAACTCTTCTCCATGATGAAGACGTTGACACAGCATGTGGCCCAGCAACAGGAAGACAACAGAACGTTGCTTAAGGAAGTAGAAAGGATGAGGACAGAGATCCGCAAACCTCAGAAGGCCACACCCTCAATCTTACAACCAAGGATCCTGATTTTCGACAAGGCAGGATCCCCAGGAAAACGCCCAGAATCGACAGCTCCAACATTTGTTGCTACCCCAACAGGGAGAACGATCACAAACATCCAAACTCCTGTGACCCAGGATCTTGATGAGACCTGCAATACTCCTAATAACAGAAATACCAGGAACTTCTTTAACGGTATCACTATTAATGCTAACTCTACGAATCTTGATGCAAAAATAAGTCCAATTATGGCCAAAGAACTCCAACAACTAAGACATATGATCTCAAGCGTACCACGGGTGATCCAGCCTATACCGGAAGAATCCATCACCAGTCATAGGATCTCAAGATTTATCCCCTCAATAGCCAATACCAAAGTTCTTAGGCGCTTCCAAACTCCAAGCATGAAGCCTTACGATGGAACCACAGATCCTGAAGAACATATTGCACAATATAAGGAGAGAATGGAGATCATTCCCATACCACCACACTTAAAAGAAGGTTGTTTGTGCAAAGGATTCGAATCGACTCTTATAGGATTAGCCTTAAAATGGATTCTTAACGTTCCTCCTTATTCTATTACCTATTTCGCTTATTTAGTTAATTTTTTCAATAATCAGTTTTCTTGCAGCAGGATATTTGAAAGGACCGCTAGTGATCTCTACCGGGTAGTCCAGGATCCCAAAGAATCCCTAAGGGACTTTGTAAGCAGGTTTGGTAGGGAAGCTCTAAACATATCAAACATCAACATGGCCACTGTCTTAGAGGCCTTTAAGATAGGTTTGAAGAAGGATTCTCCATTCTACTAAGACCTTGTAATGACTCCATGCAAAGATATAGATGAAGTTGGGAGCCGAGCACTAAGATTTATCAGATTAGAGGAAGACAAAGAAATACAAAGGAGGGCCAACACGCCAAGTTCCTATAACAATCCTAACAGGAAGGCTGAATCCTCAGCCTAGAGATCCTATAAGTCAAAACCCTATTCCAAACCTGATCATCATAGGGTTAATGCCCTCGATGATGAAGGAGAAGAAGACAAATTTCCTAAAAGTACTGACTATTGCTGCTCTGTGGATGTTTCAGGTCTAATATTCTCCATACAGGATCTTGGTAACAAAGCAAGATGGCCAAGAAAGGGAGAGAAGTCGAACAATTGGAAAGACAAATCCATGTGGTGTGCATATCATGAGGATTTCAGTCACAACACTGAGGATTGCATAACCCTCAGAAAGAAGATTAGCTATCTCCTGAACAAGGGATATCTCAAAGAGATCCTAGGAAGGAAAAAAGAAAGATCCAAGGAAAAAGAGCAAGACCCTATGAAAATCCCAGAAAAACCAAGATCCCCTCAATCAAATTCCAAGGTAATCAATGTTATTTCCAGAGGATCTGACATTTGTGGAACCTCTTATTCTGCAGCTAAAAGGCACGCCAAAGTGTCCAAGACAAAAAAAATGGAAAGACCCTGTAAAAACATGTCGATCAGAAGCAGCAATGAGATCATCTTTGACGAACAAGATAAAGAAAACATCTAGGATCCTCACCATAATGGTTTGGTGATTACTCTATATATCGCCAATCACTTCGTCAGAAGGATCCTGGTAGACGTAGGATCCTTAGTGAACATCATACTTTCAGATGCTCTAACCAAGATGAACATCCTGGAATCCGAAATAATCAAAAGATCCCCGATCCTAATAGGATTTAGTGGTGAAACAAAGCACACCATTGGAGAAATCAAGCTACCCATCTACATTGAAGGTGTAAATTTCATGCAACGTTTTTGTTTTATTGATGCTTTGTCTTCCTATAATGTCATATTAGGTAGGCCATGGATCCATGGAATGGAAGCAGTCCCGTCAACGTAGCACCAGTGCATCAAGATACCTACCCCTATGCGGGATAGTGAAGATCGTCGGGGATCAGAAAGAATCTAAAGAATGTTATAAGACCTCGATGAAGTCTTCAACAGTACCATGACAAGCATAACAATTAAAGTAAGGGGAAAAAGGCATTCTAGAAGCAAGCGATCAGGATGTAAAGGAAGTGCCCCTAAACCCCGAGGATCCTGAAGTCAAAGTCCTCATAGGATCCTCAATAGCATAACAAATAGAGCAAGAACTGATAAAATTCTTAAAGGACAGAAACATGACCTTTGCTTGGAAACATGAGGATATAATATGTATAGATAAGGAAATTATAACTCATAGACTCAATATAGATCCTTCTTTCAGGACTATACACCAAAAAGAAGAAAATTTGCACCTGAGAGAAACCAAATTATTCAAGAAGAAGTTGAAAAACTTCTCAAAACAGGGATGATTAAAGAAGTGAAGT